GTCGCAAAACTGCAGCCTGCTGGGGCCCCGCCATGTGAAATGTATCCTGCGCGTAGGAGGTCTGACTATTCAGGGTGCTCATCAGGTGGCCCTGGTATTTGTTAATGATGATGGCGAGGATGGTTCCATTGAAGCCTGCTGCTAAGGCTCTCTGCTGTAGGCTTCCCTCGATTGGCATGCTCACAGTAATTAGTGAGGTCCCGTGTGATGGAGGCCGCGTGGAGGGATATCTGCTGCGCGGTATTGCTCTCTGACTGGAGCGACTGCCGGCAAACTTGACCGAGCGTCGATCTGCCCGCCTGGCGGGCAAGAACAAGCGGTCGCGCTGGCGCCCCCATCTCCCACAACTGCCAGTCTATTCTAGCAAATTGTCAATGCGTGCTGCGCGTGAGACAAATACCTCGGCATGATGGGCCCTCTCCCGAGGGCTCATGCTCGGGGGGCAAAGCTGCGATCGCTGCGAGGAGCCGGGTCGGCATGCTGCCCGCGCGCTCTATCGCATTGGGGGGCAAACGAAACAGCTCCTGCTGCTGCGGAGAAAGAAGGACAATGTCCTTGGGATGCTGTCCACCCCAAGTCTCTGCGGCGGCGCGGCTAAACTTCTTCCGGGCCCGGCGAAGATTTCGATGGGGTTATTATCCAATGTGGGGCTCCAGCAGCTTGAGGGTCTCCAGGGGCCAGTTGATGAAGTTCCACTTCGGAGCTCCAGGCCGCGGTGAGCCATCGGACCTCGGCGTTGAGGAGCTCCGCGGGGCAGCCCGAGAAGTCTCCGTCGTTCTTCTGGACCCTGTTTGGCTTCCAGTGCTGAACCTTCTTGGCCGACTTTTGAGCCCGACGTATTCCTCGGACGTCCGTTCCTTCGCCCGCTGTTTCCGCGTCGTGTTTGCATTTTGGTCGTCGGAATCTGTCTTTCGCTGCGTCTGTGGGCCCGTCCTCCCCTGGTCTAACTGATCCTGCTGGAGCGCCTCCGCGAGGCTGCGCACTTTGCCCAGCGCGGCGCTCGGCTTGTAGGAAGCAAAAGAAAAAGCCTGCGGCGGCCCGGACAGATGCTGGAAGAGGTCCGGGAGCGCCTCCAAATCCTCTTCGGGCAAAATGCGCTGGACTTCAAAAATCTGGTTGAGCAGCCATCCCACCGGCATCATGAACGACTTCCATTCAGCTTGATGTTGACTCCCAACGGCTTTGGCAGACAGCCGCGCAGCGGTGGGGGTTCGCGCCAACTCCCAGGTTGCCGAAGAGGGGCGTTGGTGGCCCTGCTGAGGGGCCCTTCCATTTCCCAACCCAAAATCTCGCGCGTCCATGGCGGACATCTCTTGGGTCTCTGGGGCCTCCGGGCCCAGGATCGGCTCCAAAACGTCCGGGGCAGCGGGTGTTCGCGCCCAATCAAGGTTCGCGAGGGCGGGGCCGAAAGGGCACCGGGTGGGGGCCTCCTAGGGCGCTCTGATAATGGGGGCCACGCAACTCGAACCGATCGCAAAACTGAGATTGACGGGCTTGCGCGGCGGCAGAGGGCGCTGCTTCAGCGCCGTGATCGCCTGCGTCGAGCTTTGGAGGCGCGAGCTCATCATGCAACAAATCATCTTGCTGCGAGTCTAACTGGTGAAGAACGTATAGCCTGCTCGCGCCAGCACTCCGGATGATGCTATCATCGATGGGGCCATCTTAACATCGGCCCCGACAAGAACCGGCATGCGGAACTTCTGATGGCACCATCCTGCTGTGGCCAACAGGCGCAATTTGGTATTGTGCAGGCCCGCCGAAGAGCACGAACAAGTATTGGTTCATGACCTGGGATGGCAGCTCTAAGATGGCAGCAGCGGCTCTGCTTGGTCGAAATATGGTAGCTCTGAGATGGCAGCAGCGGCTCTGCTTGGTGGAATGTAGCCTGGGAGCGCAACGTGCGGAACTCCGATGTTGAGACCGCTGCAAATGAGAATGCATGCACCGCTGTTGTTGTAATCGTTGTCGCCGAAGTCGCAATATGAAAATATTGCATGCCAGCCTCGAACACCACGCCAGTGCACTGCTTGGCCAACTGTGTCTCCGCGGAGTTTGACCTCCTGAGCAAATGTGACCGATGAGTCCTGCACTTCATGGGGTTTGACTAAACCATGCACTGAATTCCAACAGCAGCCGTTGATGGTAGTGAAATCGGTCTGCAAGGTGCCCCCCCCATGCGGTGATGACTGCGACGCTGACCTACCTTTGCTGGCGGCCGCAGCCGCCTCCTTGGCCTTGGCGAGCGCCGCCTCAGCCCTCTTGGGGTCCTGGTCCGAGGTCTGTGCTGCGCTCTTGCCCAGCGCCTGTTCCAGCTCCTCAACCTCGTTGTGCGGCCTCTTCTGCATGGCTGTGGGGTCGATTGCCGAGTCGTTCATGGCGGTCGTATCTGGCTGCTGTGGTTCGTTATCTTCCTTGCCGCCGATCGGGGGGGGACGTCAGGCTCCTCCTTGGCTGCTGGCGGTGCTGGAGCTGCATCCGCCGCTGCTGCACTGCCTGCTGGCGTAGGTTGCGTCTCCTGCGACGCTGCCACCAGGCCTGTGACCGCTGATGCGATGCTTTGCTCCAGCGTGTAAACTTGCTGCTAGATGTGGACTGGAACGACTGAGACTGGGCCCGCTGCCAAGTGCAACATGAACTGGTTGAGCTCAGGGAGCGGGCTCTGCACCTTTGACGTGGGTATCGCCGCCGCCGTTGAATGGACTGTGACTGCGTGTTGGGCCCCCAGATGCAACCTCCGCCTGCATTGTGGCGATGGTCTTCTGCAAGTTCGCGTGCTCTTCGGCCAAGGTGGTGAGCTGCTCCAACTTCGCTGTGGCCTGGGACTCTGACTTGTCGATGCGCTCCTTGGTGCGCTCGATCTGGTCTCGCAGAGACTGCGATTGCTGGTCAAGGGGCTTCGCCTTGAGCAAGGACTGCATCACTGATTTGAGCTGCGCGCCGCCGCCTCGTAGTTGCTGCCTCCGGCGCTGTCTTGCTCCTTCCAGAACTGAGCCAGCTCCTGGTACGTACTGACGTCGAGCTCGGTGGCGGTATTGGTCGGGCTGGTGTCGGTGCGAGGCTGCGTGTCATGCTCCTGCCTGTCATTCCCGATTCCCCCGAATCCCCCAGGTTGCATGGCTCCCACCTTTCCACCGGTTGGCGCCCGAAGGTGGAGCTGGCTGAGAGAGACCTCTGTCATCTCCGCCTGTCTCTACCTTGATACTTTTTTTTGCCACATTAGCCACAGAACTTGCTCTCGTCGCACAGTCCCAACCCGAGCAGTGGGGGCTGCTGCAAACCAAGTACTCGCGACGATTCTGTGGCTGAGATCCTTTCTTGCCGTTCCTGCCCATCGCCCTGGCGCAGCCAATCCAATGAAAAACAGCAATATGCGCTTGGGCTGCAGGCGAATGCAACGGAAAGAAGGGACTGTGGGAGACGTTGGGCTTCCTGGAAGCCCCTGGAGAAAGCTTGAGCCCCAGCTCACTGGACCTCACCAGTGAGGCAAGCTCGACATGAAAGGATGAAAAAGGAGAGGAGGATACGGGGAAGGAGAAAGAAAACGAGGACGACGAGGAGGAGCAGGAGGAGGAGGAGGAGGGGAGAAGGAGGAGGAGAAGGGGGACGAGGAGGAGGGAGGAGGAGGAGGCGGAGGCGGAGGAGGAGGAGGAGGAAGAAGAAGAAAAAGAAAAGGAGAAGGAGGAGGAAGATGAGGAGGAGGAGGTGGAGGTCGATGGGGAGGAGGAAGACGAGGAACAGGAGCAGCAGGAGGAGGCGGAAGAGGAGGATAGGGAGGAGGATATCGACGACGACTGGGAGACGAAGGCGGAGGAGGAGGTCGACGACGACGACGGGGAAACAAAAGAGGAGGATGAGGGGAAGGGGGAGGGGGGGGAGGAGGAGGAGGAGCAGGAGCAGGAGCAGTAGGAGGAGGAGGAAGAGGAGGTGGAGGAGGAGGATCAGGAGGACGAGGAGGAGAAGGAAGAGGAGGAGGAGGAAAAATAGGAGGAAGAGGAGGCGGAGAAGGCGGATGAGGAGGATGAGGAGGAGGAGAAGGCGGATGGGGGGTAGAGAGGGAGGAGGAGGTCGACGACGGCGGGGGGGGGGCGGACCAAGGGGAGCGGGGGGAGCTGGCATGGGGGGGGACGCGGGGGAAACGAGGGTGGAGGGGGCGGCGGGGGGGGGGGGGGGGGGGGCGGAACTCGTGGGGTCTCTCCTCCTCCCTCCCCATCCTTCTCTTTCCCGCTCCCTCCTCCTCTCCGCTCCGCCTCCTCCTTCTCCTCTTCTGCTGCTGTCGAGCCTTTTTTCTCAATCTGTTGAATTTGCAAAAGGGGTCTTTGGCCGAGGATGTCAAGAACAATCCGCCTCCTCTGGGTCCAGCCGCGGGGGCGGGGGCCTTTTTGACTCATCCTCGGGTTATCGTCAGAACAATAACTCCTGCACGCAACCGACGCGCGACGGAAGGGGCCCGACGGGGCCGAAAGAGAACGAAGGACGGGCCCCAGGAACCGCAGACAACGAGCGGAGGGACACGACCGAAGAGAAGGGGCACCGAAGCACCGAGGGCCCGAACGCAGAGTGCAGGTTCAACTACAGACAATGATGGCACAGCGGCACTGTGCAACATCGAATCAAATCCTGCTCCACCTGCTCACCTGATAGGAATGAGCCGCCCGTCACAATCGGCAATCGATGATAACAAGGCGGCGTTAGCGATGCAACATCGAACATCCTCCTGCTCCTCTCTCAATCTCTCCACCCCGCCCTCGTCTAGCAACTGGCGCAACTACCGCTTCCGCGGGGGCGGGGGCCGCGAGGGGGGCGTGATGGGGAGGACAGAAGACATCGCATCCTCCACCGTTCCGCTCCCCCATCTTTCCGCTCCCTCACTGTTCACGCCGCGGCTCCCCCATCCATCTCCTGCTGCGATCTCTCCTCCTCCTTCCTTGTCCCGATCCTCCTCCTCACTCTCCTCCTCCCCCCTCCAGCCCTCCGCAAAGGGGCGGCTCGGAGCGGGGCGCCTTGGCCTCCGCCTTGCCCCCAGCCAACTGCTTCTCCTTAAGCTTGTCGATGTCCCCGAGCATCTTCCGCTTCAGCACCAGGGAGACCTCCAGCAGAGGCAGACCAAACCCAAGACCGTGATATGCCGATGCACAATGGACTGTTTCAACTGACAGATGAAAACAAACATGCGGGAACCAATAACTGGTTACTTGAGTGACTCCCTTCTCCTGGCGAGCCCTATTGATCTTACTTAAACCATTTCTGGGGAAGCACACGCATAGGTGAAGGTTAAGCGCCATGGGGGCGAATTCAGGCCGCGGCACACACACAGCGAGCCGCGCTAGATCTAAGGGACCCCGTGGAAATGTGGATGCAGTGCCAGGCAACTGACTGCCTTGGCCTGCCAAGGGCGCCTCGCTGGCCCGCCAAAGCGAACGACTGCCCTGCAGCAAGGAGCTCTTCCGCTCCTGCCTCCAACAAGAACGGCATAACCTATGTCCAGCATTCGTCCGGCTGGAGTGTCGATGAGGAGCAGGAAACATTCCCTCCCAGCTCTCCCTCCTCCTCTCTTAGGTCCTCCCCCCCGGGAGGGGAAGGGGCTCATGGCCACGACCGAACGCGGCTCAGAGGCGGAGCCAGGATGCCCGTGCGTCTGGCAGTACGTTCTGTATGGGTATGACGGGCTAGCGACATCGACGCGCTGGGCAACGAATTGCGTGGGGCTCTCGACGAGTCACATCTGTCACACATCAAGACCCCAACGACGCGATGCGTTTGAGATGGGACTATGTAGTCGGCAAGCTGTCCTGCCGCGGGACCGTCATCGCCCCTGACGAGGGGGGAGCAGATGAAGGAGGAAGAAATCATCGCGGTGCATACCAATAGGCATGGGCAGCCAGGTGCGACAAACTGAGCGGCACGCGTGGACAACACCAGCAAGAGCAGGGAGAGGAAACAAGCGGCAAGGAGAAGCAGAGCAAGAAACCGAATCCACCATTGGATGGGGTACTGGCGGGAATGCGTCCTGCATCGAGGACAGACAAAGGCACCCGCAGCAACACGGCAACGCAAACAGAGGAACACAAGGGAGACTCACACAATTATCCGATGCGCGCACGTATGATACCAGCGTTGGTCCACACCTTTGGCTCCATGCATTCTACGGAGACAAGATTTGGGGAGCATCTATGGGATGCAATGCTACCTGTGGGCTGGAACGTATGCCATGCATCCGATGGGCTGTATTTGGTGATGTGGTGGCGTGTCGTGTATGGGTGGGACCGTCTCAGGTGCTCCAGACCAGTAAGAACGCAATCATCCGATCGCTCACAGGGGATATCCTCAGCGAGCCGCATCATCTGATCACAGATCAAGGAAGCTTGCTCATGGGTCCCTGCATCTGATCCCGCATGTTGACATTCTTGGGGGGAGTCCTGTCATCTGGGCGCAACTCAAAGGTGGAACGTGTGCCATCGCTCTTGCACGAGGTAGCGGTGATGGGCGGGAGGAGTAGGAATCTCTTGGCACTGTCTTGGGGGGGCAGGAGGCGAGCCTGGGGGGGGGCCGACGACGAGTAACGCACGACGGACGACCGACTACCACACGACTAAATTCTAAATTCAACGAGCTCTACAGTTACGGCGCTGCCAGAAAGAACGCCAACTAACAAACGAAGAGGCTTTTCTGGCCTCGGCGGGCCTCGTGCACGAATAGGTTCCCCGACCTAGATCGAAGGAACGGCCCAAAAACCAGAGGCCACTCCAGAGCCCAAACTGGTCCTTATGCCAGCGCCTCGACTTTACAGCACAGCCGTGCTGGAGAATCGCAGGCTCCGAGCTCCTCTGCACTGGGGCCTGGGGAGGAGGGGGTCTGAAGGGGGGCAAGGGCTGGGGCCTGGGGAGGGGGAAGGCGCCGAGGTGGCGGGGCTTCAGAGGAGGGGGCCAACGACGCACGACGCGCGAAGCCGACCTCGGACATCGGCGAGTTCGGCCACGACCCTGCCAGAAGGAAGGCCGCAACGGGATCGAAGGGGCTTTTCTGGCCACGGCGGGCCTCGTCCACGACGGGGGCCCCCGCGACCCAGATCGGAGGAGCGGCCCGAAGACCCGAGCCCCTCCGGGGCCCAGAGGGGTCCGTATGTCAGCGCCTCGACTGCACCGGCGAACCGATCAGCCCCAGACCTCCGACGTCGGGGTTCTTTGAATCTACTGGCCCCAGGAACTCTCCGAACACTTCCCTGGCGCCGCTTTCTCGTCCTGGATACCTTAGGTACCGACAACCGCGCCCCCGCGGGCCGACTCTATGGAACAGGCGAGCGACGATCAAACAGGGGTCTTACGGGAGATGGCATAGCGACCTTACGCGGTGGCTTACGCGGGCCCCCCGCGCGGCACGCCACATTTTGAAGCGAAGGCGCTTACGCGCGGCCTTACGCGGGGAGCTTACGCGCCAATGTCGGCGCAGTTGGACCTGTTTTCTCCGTCGCCCACATGCAGAGTGATTGTGTTCCTTTTAGAACAAGACATTTGAGGCCAAAATACGAACGTCGACCCACCAGATCGATCATGGGGTGCGCTTTGGTCAACATGTCGAAACGAAACCAACCACGGCTCAGAGAAGCCTCCTGGAGGCCCAGGAGCGTCCAACACCTTCGGCCGACGATCCTCGACCCCGCCTGCCTTCGGAATCTCACGAGACTGATAGATCCGTGAGGGTCCTGGGCCCCCCAAGCCGGGCGAAACTGCCAAGCGTCAACAAACGTGAGGCGCCCGGGTCCCTAAACATCCTTTAATCGACGCCTATCCCCATGGGCGTGGCCTGGGCCCCACTTGCCGATGTACCCCCCAGAGATAGGGAAATGTGCAGTTCCCCTCGTTTTTCGAAGGGTATATGCCCAACTGGGGTGCTGAGATGGTGCTGGATGGGGATGGGGATGGGGATAGGGGGTCGGTGACATGATGCGGAGTCTCATTAGCCGGCCTCCTTGTCGGTGGAGATCTTGTTCCTCATCTCGGCGATCTTCTTCTCGAGCAGCGCCCCCATGAGCGTCTTGGCCTGTGGGGGCCCGCTCGGCGCCGCGCCGCCGCGCGCGCGCGCCCCCTTCGGTGCCAACTCCTCGGGGGGGGTGCGGGGGGGAGTCCGCCCGCCGGGAGGGGAGGCAGGAGGAGCGAAACAGGAAAAGGGGAAGGTCCTTACTGGCAGCAGCCTTGATTTGTTACCACATGCCCAAGTCGGCGCACTCCCACTCTTTCCCCTCGAGGAGCGCAACAAGCCTGGCCTCAGTGCCCGCCCAGCGCAGAAAGTGAAGGAGTGAAGAAGGAGATGCAGAGGAGGATGGGGGGGGGGGACGAGAAGAGGTGCAGGGGGAGGGGAGCGGCAGACGTTACCGCCCTCGTCGTTCGGGCCCAAAGTCTGAACCGCCGCCATGATGGTCGGGTGTTGCCGAAGCTGGAGGCCCAGAGGTTGGCACCGTCGCCAGTGTGCCGCCGCCGAGGGAAGGCGGCTCCGATCTCGGTGTTGGTGGTGATATTCGGGCTTCCTGAGTGGCCTAGAGCTTACCAACATCATCGGAATCTATCGGCGGCGAGCGAGGGAAGGAAGTGAGAAGGAGACGGGAGGAGGCATTCTCAGAAGGCGGCGGGACTTCGCAAAAGCCCTTGCGCCTTCCGAGAGGTGTTCTGTGTCTTCGGGGGGAAGGCTTAGAACACTTCTCAGAGGGCCTGGGGGTTTCCGAGCCTTCCGAGAAGGCCCACCCCCTCTCAATTCCCCCCCACGGGCTCGCCGCCGAATTTAGGATCATCTTCTCCCGGTGGAGGCCACCCCCCCCTCTCCCCGCACCCCTCCGAGTCCGCCCGAAGCGCCCAAGGACCCCCCCGGGGGATCGACGCCCGTCACTCCGAGCGGGCCGAGGACCCGAGGCTGCTCGGGCGCCGCCCGAGGCGCACCCAGACCAGCGCGGACACACCTCTTGTCAGACATACAGTCGACCCGCACAATAAGGATGCGCAGTGAAGATGCAAGGGCCTTGGACGCCCATGCCGAGGCTCTTCGAGCGGGCCTGGCCATCGAACGCTGTTGAAGATGGACCGAAGGATGACCCGAGAGGCAAGGATGCAAGGGTACCCTGGGGAATAGCTCATCCTTCCTATGTGGGTTGCCTGTATGTTTGTATCTGTATATATGTATCTCGGCGGTTTTTCCTAGCGCGCACACGCACACACACACACACACCCACACACAAACACACACCCACACACACACACACGCACACGCGCACGCACACACGCACACATGCACACACGCACACATGCACACACGCACACACGCACACACGCGCACACGCACACACGCACACACGCACACACGCACACACAAACACACACACACAACACACACACAAACACACAGACAAACACACACACAAACACACACACGGACACACACACACACATACATTCACACACACACGCACACACACGCACACGCACACACATACACACACCCTTCCCGGGGTTTCCTGGGGGCTCGTACTGGGCGCAACAGACGGGGGCGCGCAAACATGGATTAGCGATCCCTGGATTTGACGCGCGGTCGCCGAGTTCATGGATCGGGGGAGGTGCCCTCCCCCTAATGCGGCCAGTGCCACCTCGTTCGGCGGCGAAAATCAGCGATTTCCCATGGAAACGGGACCCGTCGCAAATCCACGCCACCTGGGGAGGTTCGTACCGGGCGCGCCGGCGGGCCCTCCCTGCCTATGTCTGTGTGGTAGTGGGGTGGGGGCTCCTGTGAGAGCGGGGGGAGTCAGGGGGAGCGCGGAGGAGTGCCGAGGAGCGCCATGGGGAGGCATCCCGGGGAGTGGGGGAGTGCCAGGGAGACCTCCAGGGACCTCCAGGAACTTCCAGTGGACTTCTCTGCATGGACGTCGTCGTCGTCGTGGTAGTCGTGGTCGCCGCCTTCACCGCCGCGGCCGCCATCGTAGCGCGCTCCCAAACACCCCGAACGCTTGTACGCCCTCCCCGGGGGCTCTCGACGACGACCCCTGCGAGCACGATGAAGACTACGATGACCTCGAAGACGACGGCCTCGCCGACGACGACGAGGTCGCGAGCGCGTGCGCCTCGTCGACCTCCACGGAGAGGGCCTTGGTCTTCAGCGTGGCCTCTACAGCGGCCTGCGGGCCCGTGACCGCCACGATGCGCCTTGCATGGGGGTGGTGGTTTCTGCCGCCGCCGCGGTACGGTGCGCCTGGCCCTGAAGGGGTCGTCGCCGCCGTCGCAGCCGCCGCAGTTGAGTCCGAAAGGGGGGTATCTGAGATACGCGAAGATGTGGTACTTACACGTAGAAGTGCAGAGAAAGAGAGAGAGAGAGAGAAAGAGAGAAAAAAAAAAAGAGAGACAAAACGGAAAGGGGGAGACGGTGAGGAGAGAGGGGGGAGGGCGAGGGTTAGGGGAGAGAGAGAGAGAGAGAGAGAGAGACAGAGAGGAGAGAGAGAAGAGAGAGGGGGAGAGAGAGGCAGAGACAGGCACAGGGAGCGCCACACTTCGGACGAGGTCTGATCCACGCACGGGCGGGGCTACAAGCGCCCCTGCCCGCACCTCCTTGGCGGGAGGGGCCGCTCGCAGAAACGGGGGCAGTGAAAAGCTTCCCTCCCGGAGCAGTCAGGAAAAGACTACGACTGGAAAGCAGCGAGGGATGTGGCGACTCGGGAGTGGCACTCCCAATCTGCGCGCCCAGGTGCAGCACGTTTCGGCGTGGGTGCCTCCAAGTAGGGCGTCGCGGAGGGGCACCCCCGACAGCGACCCAAGGCGCGGTCCGTGGAGCGTGCTGCCAGGCGCTCGCGCGGGACGCAGAAGAAAGGAGGCTAGCGGCTGTTGCGCTGACAGCGAGCGTCGAGTCTCGCCGGGATGGCCTCGTAGAGGGGTGCTCCAGGAGGGGGAAGCGGTTGAGACGCCGCGTGGATGGCGTCCCAAAGGAACTGGGCCCGTTGGGACCGTGCGAAGAGGAGGGCCCGCCTGTTCCTGGGGGCGACGCAGCGTTTGCACGAGGCGCGTGGCCCGCTCTTGGAGCGCGAAGAGGAAGAGGGAGAGAGAGAGAGAGAGAGAACGAAAGAAAGAAAGAAAGAGAGAGAGAGAAAAACATAAAGAAAGAGAGAGAGAGAGAGAGATAGAAAACAACATAGCGAGACAGAGGGAGAGAGTGATACTTTACATGTGCATTTACACCCATACACATATACATACATAAAAGAGAGAGAGAGAGAGAGAGAGAGAACGAGAGATAACTGACATTCACATACCTCTCTCGATATATACATGTGTGCACATGTACATACATGTGTATATGAGGAAGGGCGAAAGAGAGAGGCAGAGAGAGGGAGAACGAGAGAGAGGATTACAAAAAACATCAACACGAGAGAAAGAGCGAGAGAGAGAGAGAGGGAGAGAGGGAGAGAGAAGGAGAGAGAGAGAGAGAGAGAGGGAGGGCGAGGGACGAGTACAGCCACCCCTCGCTCCCAAAGTGAAAGTGGGAGGGACGAAGATCGCCTCCCCATGGCTTTCAGAGCTGCATGCTCGTCCGCGCGGCTGGCCAATGGGCGCCCCGCTCTGTCAACCAGCGAGCCTTTGAGCTCGAGCAGCCAGTACCGGAGGAAGACTACTTGAGACCACGGCAACTCTCCCGCCCAGCTCACTTCCAATCACAGTCGGCCCCCAAAAACCTTCCCGGGACCCATCCTGGCCCGTTTCTCGAGGCGGACCCGGCCGCGGCGACGATGGGGACCCCCAGGAGGCCCACAAAAGGACGAGACGCGCCAGGGAGGGCCGCCGAGGTGTCTCTTCGGGCCCTCCTCCGACGGAGCAGCCTGTCGTGATCCGACCCCAGACCACACGGCCTTCTGGGAGCCCGGTGCTCGGCAGGGCTGGACCTGCACGTTGCTTTTCGTGTTGGTTTCGTCTTGTGTTTCGTTTTGTTCGACCTGTTTTCCTGTACTTCCCTCCCGAAGCGAAAAACAAAACACAGCCGAAGTCCAGCAACACAGCGTTTAGGTCCAGCCCTGGGCCCAGAGGGGTGAAGGGGACAAGCTAGGTGCGCTCGCGCCTCGTCTGGCATTCCTTCCCTCGCTCCCCTCCCTTCCCTTCACATGGCGCCTATGTTTCTCTATCCGCGGACGCGTGTCAGTTAGCCGACCTGCGACTCCCACAGAAAGACCCCTTCGTGGTTGGCGCAATCGGAAAGAGGGGAGCTGCGTGCACAGGAGGAGGTTGCGGGTGATCAGGAAGATGAGCGGGAAGAAGTGGATGAGGACCAACAGTAGCAACAGCAGCAAAGACTAAAGCGGAAGGATCGGGACATAAACGAGGACAAGAGGAAGGCGGAGGAATGGAAATGAGGGAGGGCGACAACAATGAAGAAATACTCGGAGTCAGAAAGTTGCCTCGCTGGGGCGAGACGAACAGCAGCAGCAGGAACTGCAGTGGACGGGGCGGGAGGAACAGGAGGACCAGGGGAAAGCGGAGCAGGGAAAATGAGGAGCGGGACGACAATGAAGCTAGACTCGGATCAACAAAAGTGGCCCGCGCTGGGGCGAGAGCGCCATTCTGAACGACTGGAGCAAAGCGCCGATCCGAAAATGAGGCCCACGCTGCGGCGGGAACACCATTTTAAAACACCGGTAGCAATCGAAAGACGAACTACTTGAATCCTGTGTGCAAACAATACGCGGAGGGGGGTGGGCTACTTTTTGATCAACTTCGGGAGGAGAGGAGAGAAGTACTCATACCGAGAGATTGTGGACGGCATGGGGAGGCTGGATCAGGGGTGGCGCGCACAGGCTGGTAGGGGGAGGGGGTTCGGCATCTTAGAAGGAGCCTGCTTGTTAGAAGGCGGCGGCCCTACATCTGTAGATGAGGCCCGCGCCTTCTAAGAAGCAGGGGTGTTTCTACGAAGCCTTCCCCCCTCCCCCTGCCCCCCTCCGCGCGTGGCTGCGTATCACAAGGGGGTACTGGCCGTTGTTGCTTTTACGCTCCTCTTCACGCTTGCCTTGACGTGTCGCCATGTTGTCCCACCCCATGCGCGGCGCACCATCATGTAGATTCCGCTGCAGAACGTGGGCCGCTCTGTACACCCTGCGACATGCTTAAGAAATCATGGGTTAAGAAATTCATAGTCTCAGAACTTGAATAAAAAAACCCAACATTTCCATTCCAATCTTAGGATTTACACTGAAATATTAAGAATAATCGAGACTCTGGCCGAAGAAATAAGTTTTCTTAAGCATCGCATAAGGTGTAGAGGCCGCGCAACAGCGAGGAAACAGTGCTCTGGAATTGGCGATGCAACGCCGGCCCCCCTGTGGTTGCCCCTGATCCGCCCGGATGGCAGGAGGAGGTGTGGGCACCCAGCCGCGCCCCCTCCTCACCCAGAGTGGTCTGACCCCCCCGCCTTCCCAGACATCCCTTCCGCGGGGGTGGCTTTTCCGTCCTGCATCCATGCCCGATAGCCCTGGAGCCCGACAGCGGGCCTCGGAGGCCGAAGTGCGAGGAAACATGCAGGGATAGGCAGCACGAACATCGTCGGATGTCTGTGTTCACGGACTCCCGATCATGATTCAGCCATCGTGCTGCCACAAGGAGCCAAAAGACAAGGAACAGAGGAGCTTGTCTGGCCGTAGCGAGCCCGGGCCACGAACGGGCTGCCTGGCATGGATCAAAGGAAGGCTCCGAGAACCAGAGCCCCTCCTGAACCCAAAATGGTCATGGAGGAAGAGGAGGAGGAGAAGAATCGAGGAGGTGGAGGAGGAGGATGAGGAGGAGAAGAATCGAGGAGGAGGAGGAGGATTGTACTTCCATTGGCCCCATTCAGCCGGGGCCAACGGGAATGGGAGCTCCGGACGGCTCCGCGTGGCTCTTAACCCCGGGTGAGCCAGAGGAGAGAAGGAGGGGATTGGCCGACCGCTTCGAGTACGCCCCGTCAGGGGCGCTGAGCGTTCGATGCGGGTGCGTCAGCCTAAGTCAAGCTGCCTTCATGCTCGCGCGGACCGTCGTTGTGGGCCCCAGACTCTTATCGCCCCTTTTGCAGACTGCGCATTCAACTTATGGTCGTCGCCGATGCCACGGACGTAGTACATGTCCACCGAGATTTCATCCGCTCGAATAGCGAGTTACAATGGCGCACCACTTCTGCATACGTGACTGGTAGCTCTTCCTATATGCCTCATAAGCTGCAATGCGATGTTGGCCCGACGATTCATAATACGCTTGCGAGCGACGTCAAAGTTCATCAACCAGCTAATGGAGTACTAGAATGAACCACAATTAACAAATTCCCCCTCGTCGTCATCAATGTTTACGAGATATCCGACGCCTTCCCCAACATGCCTGTTGCGAACGGAAGGAACTCCGTCGGTTGCTCTGTTCCGATCGAGCAATGATGGATGGGGGCTAGGAGAGTGGCGGCGGGGGCGGGGAGGGAGACGCGAGGAGGAAAAGGAAGTAGAGGACAGCCGATTTAGCTGAAGAGAAGGCGGTGCACTGTGTGGGATGGTGCAGGGTCCTGTAACCCCCCTCCACCCTCAGGTCCTCAGTCAGATCCCTTTTGAAAGCAGGTCAGGAACCACAAAACATATAGACTGCATCCTCCTCCTCGGCAAAAGCCGACGCGAACGCAGGGTCGTCCGCGCCACAGGCCACTTGCGCCGCCACTTGCCCGAAGGAGGGGCAGAGGCGGGTGGCGCCTCCGACAATATAACGTCAAGACAACGCTGGACTGAGCCTGCACGAGTCACGTCCGCAGTGCGGAATGGTTCGACGAGCGGGTGTCACTTCTTGTGTATTGAGAAACGTGCGGGGGCACGCTTGAGACCCGCCAGCACCAGCGCTCCCCAGCTCCTGGGGGGCGGTGGACCAGCGCATCCATGGGAGAGAGTCGCGAAACTCCTCACCCCTCCCAAACCACACACACAACACATCACACACCAAATATGCTGCCGGGCCCCCTCCCTCCCCAGAGACGGCGAAAAGATGCACGACATGCTCTCTTTCGCCAGCTTGCATGACCCGCACGCAGGCGAGGTCTGCACGACGGAGGTTAGAGGGACAGGCGGGCGGCGGCGGCAAAACAGCAAGACGAGGCACGTGTATACAGTCAAGATTACACATGCGGGGCCCGATGCGAGCAACCCACAGGGCCCTGCGCCGAAGGACCGCAACTTTAGCTTTGCGAAGCAATCGGGCGGCCTTGGAAACACGGGCGCGCTGAGCCATCCACTGGGCCCAGTCGTCGACATTGCCGTTGCCCTCCTTCTCGGATCAGATGGAGAACGCAAGCTGACTTCTGGCCTCCGTGCAGCGGGCCTTGACTTTGCGAAGCTCGATGACGTCCACGCCACACCAATCATCGATGCAGGCCTAGACCTTGACTCACAGTTCGGCCCAGCTCGCTTTGGCTGAGCAACACCATGTTTTACCTCGTTGGCGCACTCCGTCGTGCACGAAGCTAGAATCAATGTAGAAGACAATGCCAGGCCCAGTGTGTCGAAGCGCACGCAAACACGAAACAAACACAAACATTCGAAATATCGTATCTCTGAGAAAACGAGAGCACGCTCGAACACACTGGGACCCTCCGACCCTCCTCCTCCTCCTGCTCCTCCTCCTCCTCCTCCTCACCCTCCCTCCTCCTCCTTTTCCTCCTCCTCGTCTTCCTCCTCCTCCCCCTCCTCCTCCCCTCCTCCTCCTCCTCCTCCTCCTCCTTCTCCTCGTCTTCCTCCTCCTCCTCCTCCTCCTCCTCCTCCTCCTCTTCCTCGTCTTCCTCCTCCCCCTCCTCCTCCTCCTCCTCCTCTGGGGCCCCCCTCCTCCTCCTCCTCCTCCTCCTCCTCGTCTTCCTCCTCCCCCTCCTCCTCCTCCTCCTCCTCCTCCTCCTCTTCCTCCCTGGCGGGACCTTACCCCCTTGGCGATGCCCTCCTCCACCTGCAAGACGAACTTGTAAATCTCGCTGCCTGGCTCGCGCGCCCCACATGCCTCCAAAGCCAAAGTGCCGAGGGGTGGAACTTCCGTTTGCCGTAACTATGGCTGATCCTCCCGTCTGGTGCCCATTGTTGCTTCCATTGCGGTGCTTCCGCCCGGGGGCGCGCACTCCAACGTGTTGGCAAGGAATATCTTTAAACTCCAAGCTGGATGGCCGGCCCCAGTTTGCAACAACGGCGGCTCCAGCCTGATGCTTTTCCGCAATGTATTGGAAAACGCGCTCTCGCACTGGACGTCCACACAATGCACTGAGGAATCGGGTTCTTGCTTGGGACTCCCCCGCAGTGCATTCAGACGCCGCACCCTCGACGTCTAGGTATCGCGCTCTGTCACGAGACCTACCCATACTTTACTCAAGAAGGGCCTGAGGCTGCTGCACAATCTGCGAGGTTCGCTTCGATGCTTCGCCCGCCCGTCAGGCTTGCGTGCCCGACCCGCCCGTTCAGGGTCCGCCCGCCCTGCCCGCCAAGGTCCGCTCGCCCGACCCGCCCGTTACCCGCACGACCCACCTGTTAGGGTCCGCCCCTTCGCTCGCTTCGACGCCCGCGCGTTCGATTCGATGTCCTGCTCGCGCGACCCGATAGGGTCCGCCCGCCAGACCTCCTGTTTCTCTTTGCCACCCCTCCTGCTAGACCTCATTCGTCCCCAATTATCCTAATCTCCCGCTTGCCCCTTCCCCTCTCGTTTCCTCCTTCCCTCAATGGCTTGGGGCATGTTTCTCTCTCTCTCTCTCTTTCTCTCTCTCTCTCTGATGTGTTGTTTGCTTTTTCGCTCTCTCTCTCTCTTTCTCTTTACACATTTATCTACAGATATATATGTTTGTATCTGTACGCATACACCATAGAAGTGGGGAGCGCGCGATCACTGAATATTCCAACGGCGTGACTGGCACACAATCGTGAAGCAAAGGATCACCAGGTAAACTCGGATCACCATACGAGCCGACCTGCCATAGGCAAACTCATTCAATTAACTGTAGCTTGGAAGGGAAAAGAGAGACTGAAGTCAAGGAGAACGGGGACAAGACGACCGACCGAAGCCGCAATACCTTAATTAAATCCAGGTGGCGCCTTGTTGAAGACAAAGCGCGCTAAGGAGAGATACCTCTCGAGACGTTGTGATCGAAATGGCGTGCTCGGAAAAGTTGTGCCAGGGCCGGGGCCGCCCCAGAAGCACCTCCAAGGCTAGCGACGGCTGGCGTCATTGCGAGCGCGGCCGAAACCAAAAACTAATGCCACAGCGGCGCTGACTGACGCGCCCTCGGCGAGTGCAGGCGCGAGCGCGCGAAGCGGGCCAGCGCGCAAGACTTGGCGGAAGCTCCCCTCCAACACCACAGGACCCGCGGCGCTCAGTGGGGCCTCTTGGCCGCTGAATTGTTTTGGAGGGAGCGGATGGGATAGGGCCGATCGCGAAGCGAAGTGGAATTGCCACAACTACATGCTGAGCACCCTGCTCGGCTTGGGTATGGCGCTGGCTCATCCTGCTGATATGCCCTACGCGCGTGGGCGCGGGGGACCGCAAACAGACTTTTCGAAGCCTCCCGAAGCTGTGCGCTCCCAAAGAAGCCACGCGATTTATATAAACACATGTTCAGACCTTCGTGGAACATCATGTCGTGAATGGGATGGGTCCATCCAGCGCCTATGTGAATGATTTGACCCTTCGGCAAGATAGAAATCTCATCGCCCTGGGAGATTTATTCCATGCACGGGCTATTCATCCAGACGGTGCGGTCAGCCTGCGACGCATTGCCTCGGCAGACTTGGCAGCCTTTTCCATCTTCGGACAGCGCGCGGCGAGAAGAGAAGAAACTAGCGGGTGAGGCAGAGGGCGGGGGGCAGGCGCTCTTTTCTCCGTCGGACGGGGCGATCTTCTGCCAGCACAGCCTCGAGATTAGCTCGTAAGAGCCTCTGCCTGACCACGCGAGCCTTGAACTGTGCCCCTTGTACTTTCGCGCGGCTGGCGGCGCTCGCCCGAGCCTCGGACGCAATAGCGCGGGCGACTTCGCCCGCCGCCGCGTTGCCAAGACTCAGCCACTGCGGACAAGTCGCTCGAACGGGCGCCGAAGCGAGGTGTGACGGAATCTGCAGCACTGTGTTGTTTTCTGTAAAAATACGAGTGCTACGAAGACAGCCCAAGGCGGGCCCAAGGATCGGAATTCTCTCCACTTGGCCTCGCATGCAACCCCTGGTGCAGGCCAGTCATCGCTGCCTCGTCGCCAGTAATGTACAGTCAAAACGTATAGTAAGGACGCGAGGTAAGGACGCAAGACCCTTGGAGGCTGAAGTTAGGATTTTTTGGGCGGCGGCGACCAGTGAAAACGGCAAAGGACGGGCCACAGAGGCAAGGACGCAAGGGCATCCTAGATGAAGGCGCGCGTCCTTACTAGGCGCGTTGGCTGTACACCACGACTCCTGTGCCGTGCTCCACTGCTGCTCTCAGGGCGAGGAGCTCGCCGCGAGGGGCAGACTGCGCGCTGCCAGGGAGGGCCCCTCAAGATCACGTCAACTCTGGGAGGGTCGGGAGGGTCGAAGCAGGGCGTGGCAACTGCTCCAAGTCCTGCGCGCCGGAGATGGGCATTTTCGGACTCGGGTCCCCCACCTGCACCTCCGAGCGAGAGACGAAGACTAGCATGCGTGCCAAAGCCTAGCGAGCCCTGGCCAAGAGGGCCCTCGGGCCCGCTGGCTAGCCACTGCTCTGCGCGAGGGGGCGACTCGACCGCTGTCCAACGCGCGGGCAAAATGCCGCGAAACCCAAAAACACGCCGCAGACTCGTGCTGGGCGTACGCCTGTGTTGAGAGCCTTTCCGAAGCCCGAAAGGCCTCCGCAACGGTCTTCTTGCAACAAGACCACGATCTGCGGAAGTCCGTTTCGAGGGCCTCCCTGCACCTGGGGCAAAGGACGTCTGTGCTGTCCCCTACGCCGTCGGCGATGCGTCGACGAGGCCATGTGCCTCCAACGGCAACGCGCAACATCACCTCTGCTCATTGGTATCCTTTCGGGGCTGACTCGGGCTGCTGGATGAACTGGCGGCACAACCTGTTGTCTGCACCGGCCTCCAAGCCAGCCCCGCAGTTGTGCGAGGCCGCCACTTTCCACTGCTTGAGCCTGATGTGAGCTCAAACTCGTGCAGCAAATCCAACAAGTCCGTGTCTGGGCCCAAGTCGCCGAAGAAGATGAAAACCTCCCTGGACAGGACGCCCGGGGGTCGGGTGTCCCACTGCGTAGCAGAAACTGGGTCCCACTGATATGGTAAAAAGTACGTGATAACTGCCGCCATCGCCCCCCCCCCACGTAGCGGGAGCGCTGGTTGGCATCCATAACTGCCAGCCTCGATGTCATCTTTGGCCAAACCATCTGCATACTGGCCCGTAGCTTCGGGACAATCTGAAATCGAGCACCGTCATCGAACAGCGGCCTCTCTTGGCCGATGAGGTCACGTGGCTGAGGCGTCTACGCATGCCCAACATGTCCGAGACAAAGACCAGGCAGATCTGGTGCACGGAGAGGGCGGCTGGCTGGGCCCCCGCTGCCTCCAACCTCATCGTAGGACGGTGCGTGGAGGAGGCCTTGGCAAAGCGCGCGATCCTCTTGTGCATCGTGATCCCCTTGACCACGCGCTGCTTCTTGGTGGACCGGGCATGGCGACCCGAGCCCGTGTCGATGCCGAGGTAGCTGGCCTGCCAGACGGAAACCACTGCGATCCCCATGGCCCGTAGGCGAGCTGACACCGCCTTGGCATCACAGTGGTCTGGTCCGAGTGCAGCACTACGCTCTTGGCCGCCACCTGCAAGCCCTCGGCCGCGAGGCCCTCTCTGGTCCGGGAAAGGACCTGGACCAAGCACTTGCGGATGAAGCCTCTCGAGCCCTTCACCATCTGCGATGGGCCGTCGATCCACAGCCGCATGCCGACCATCGGGTTGCTACGCGTCAGCCTGTCCAAGATAAAGAAGAAATCATGCAGCGCGCGAACCACGTGCCGCTGCGTAATCCTTGAGAATCACGCTGCAGGTCGGCTGAAAGGCTGCCCAGACGCAACAACTTAATTCCCCCTGCGACGCCGCAGGCGCGACGCGGCCGAGGCAGGCCGGCGCAGACTCATCTGCGTGGGCCGGCACGGCGGCAGCCCATCCAGGACGCAGGCAGAGTGTGCAAACTGGGAGGGACGAGAGGGGGAGGAGGGGAGGAAGGAGTACAAGTAAAACAAATGCAAGCTGTACTCAAGAAGCCGCCAGTGGCATGCCATTTAGGAGCCGTCCAGGTGATGGCCTCTCCTGGCAGACCGTGTGTATACAAACATATATATATATATATATATATATATATACGAGTGTTGCTGTGCTTCCCCCCCGCATCACGACAACACTAAAGGCTAATACCCCTGAGAAAGGTTTGTTTCTAAAATGTCTGACGGGTCTCACGTGTCTTCTATTCGGGAGCGGCCAAGAGGGGGGTGTCCAAGAGGGGGGGGTGCAAATCATGACCGGCGGCATGTGCGCGGCCCAGTGGGGGGGCCGGGACCGTATTGAAATAAGAAGAGGCGCCGTGAAATCTGGGGAAATATCATGACCCCCGCCATGATATCCACCCCCCCCTAGTCATCACCCCCCTCTTTTCCGCCCCCGATCTATCCCGTCTCCCTCGCTGCCCCGATCTCCGGCGAAATGATGTTTCAATCGGTGGGCCTCGGACTTATCGACTCCTTTTCCTCGGCCGCTGTTTCGCCCCATATCTTGTTCTGGCCCCAGGGCCTGACCAAAGCACCCATCCGTGTCAGCACTGTGCCAGCGGCACGCTGGTGCGCGTCAGAATGCTCGTCTGCCATCTGGCCGGGGTTTAGCGAGGAGGAAGGAAAAGGAGCGCGGCTGTGGACAAATATGGGGTTGTTCAAGATCCGCTCCAGTACAGCACCCTCTCTGACCTGGAGCGGGTCTTCAACTAAACCTAGCTCATGCTGCGCTGCTGCCTTAGCACGGTGCTGAGCGTTGCCGCAAGCAGCTGTATGCCAGGAGTAAAGATAGATCACACCTGCTATTTAGGGCGCAGGTGGTCTAGATCGTTTTCTCTTCACATATCTGATTCCCCTTCGGTGAAGTGTTTACTCCTCTTCCCCCCCTGGCTCTGAACGGGGCGCCCCGCAAGGGGTTAGTGCGTCCAAGTGGCCTC